TGCACCTTTCTTAACTCCAAGAACTTCTTTGTTTTTCTCCATTTACAATTAGGTTTTCTTTCTATATATATTAGTACAGCGTACGTATGAGACTGGCAATGAGAAGTATATATAATGTTTTTTCGTGAACTGCATGCTTATGTTGTCCCATTCATTTGCCTGACGTGGATATTTGCCCACCACATTTTTTTTTTTTTAATTTTTGTTTTTAAATTCAAACTAAGCTTCAAAATTCACTAGTAAAAAAATGGCTTTTTACTACCGATTTTTTTTTTTTTTTGGCTAGGATCAGAAACCGTAACAAAAGATACATTTAGCTACAGGACAATCTTAGAGTCATAGTAATTGCTAGGATTCACCGTAGAAAAGTTTTTGCTACTCCCGTATATGCTAGGAGGAAAATTTAAATGTGTGGCAAAAACATCTTGAATTACTACGAATTTGGTACATTTTACTACGGTTAATGGTCGTAGTAAAAAGCTTTATTTTTTTTCAACTAGTGATTCTTGGTGTTAGCAAGTGATTGTCCTGTTTTCAAGTTCGTCACGTTTCGATTAATTGCTGGGGCGTGTTATATATTATATTATAGAACTCTTGTAATATTTATGATTCTAGTATGATTCATGGTTTCTATTATGCCTTAATTCTCTCTTTTTCCAATTCTATTCATTCTATAGTTGACTTTAATGAGTTTTTCATCTTATAGTTGCATGGATCGAATTAGTTTAGATTAGATTAATTGTATTAGTTATATATCTACTAGCTTGTTGATTAATTAGTTAATAAGACGATACCTAGCTTCTTTAATTTCTATATATTAGATGTATGTATAGTAAAATTGTTAAATTTTGTTAATGTAACTTTCCTATGTTGACTATAATTACATCATAACTTTTAAGTATTTTATAAGTGATAGTAAAATATAATTTATTTCTTTTTAGTCATTATCCACAAAATTAATTGCATAGAGTAAGGTCTCATTTGAACCATTTAATACGCCAAAAATGACAATACATAATTAATTATTTCATTTACGTGTGAGCTATAATCTCCTTGCATGGCCTTAAATAGTTTAATTTCATCTAAATTGTGAATTATATTATTTAGATTCTAAGGGTTTTTTTCTTTTTTTTTTTTTTTTTTTTTTTTTTTTTTGTGATAAATCAGTACGTAGAACTAACCACACCAATTTATATGTCTACAAATAGATTAAATAGAGGACTCGTTCTATGCATAATATCTATACGCCTAATAGCTAATATATAAGTGAATAAATGTAAATGCATAATGGTTGCTCAAATACATTCTAAATTTAATTAAATCATGATAAGAAAAAACTTATTAACCAAACATTATAAAATTCATTACATTAAGCATGATTTTGAAATATCAACCCTAACATATAGTGAATTCAATATTGTTGGGTGGCAAATAATATTGTTGACTGGTTTAAAATAGAAAATATGGAAACCGAAGTGATTTTTGTTGTAGTACGATGTACAATTTTCGAGAAACACAATATATATATATATATATATATATATATATATATATATATATATAATGGGGGCACGGATTTTTTTAGATGTAATGCGATGGCAGACAGGTAAATATGTTTATGAATGTTATTTAAAATAGTACAAGTTTTAACTGTAATATTTTATTTTATATTTGAAGGATAAATATGAGAAAGTACCATAAATTTACATAACAATATGAAAAAAAAAATGAAGGACCAAAATTAATTAACAAAAGGTTAGAGGGGCCAAAAACCATATTTTTACAAAATATTCCTAAAATATACCTTTTACTTTTTCTAGGGTGAATTACGGCTACCCTCTTGAGGTAAGGTTAAATTACAAAAAAATCTCTCATGTTCGGGTAATTACAGCCAACCTTTCAACTATGAATCTTCTTACATGTCCATCATTATATTGTCGATTTCAACTTAATCTTCTAGCTTATGTGAAAATATTCTCTAATTTGTACTCATTTTGTGCAAAAATGCAGTTTTTGATGCACCACAATCTGGTATTTACAAGTCAAGAGACATATTTTATGATTATCTTATTTCAAAATGTGGAGCTCGAATGGGGTAAAACAGGTACAACCTGGAGAATATTTCACAAAATTTAGAAAATTCCACTAAATTCATATTGCAAGTGTGGACGTGTGTAAGAAGATTCATAGTTGAAG